AACCCCCCCAGACGATTTAAATCCCTGACGAAACATACACGTCGAACCACGGCAACGGGTTAATTATATTTTGGAGGTGTCAGATTCAGATCTCTGCCAAGCTGGGGATGGAACTTGCTGAGAATTGAGAACCTGTCAAAATATCAGTCTTTGGTATTAGTAGTGTTGAATGTCAGGATTCTTCTATCAGCTAGGAACTGTAAGGAAGCAGTTACAGCATATTTTAAGCAATATCTCAGAACTTAACCCAAAGAACCTGAGTAAAGTCATGAAGAACCTGTGAAAATAACCAAGACTTTTTCTTTTACAGAAATAAGACCCTGTAAAGCATTATGCCATGCATGAATCACTGTTTTTTAAAGTTAATTCCAGACCTCTATAGTGCCAACGCCATTTTCCTACTGTTCATACATTTGATGCAGGCAGACAGCAAACATTGAATATCATACATTGTCGAACTTGAGTTGTGTCGAAATTTTGTCTTTGCAGTTCATTCATTCATTTCCTTTCCTTTATTTTCCATATATCCATACAGGTAACAAACCTAGGATGTGAAAATGGTCCCTTTGAAAATAGATATATCAAAATACATATACAATATTTCACGAGTCACAATCGAAATCACTTACATTAAACAATTAACATAAATAATATAAAGTAAAAAAAATTATAAAGATTGTAATTAATAAACATAATTTAAAACAACTTACTATAAAACTTGAATGAATACAATTTTATTTAATTACCTATATTAACTGAATTAAATACATTACAAATTTACACACTTACGACCAATTATGTTGATAATATTCATTCATGGAATAAAAAGAGTGATATAAAAACTTCTTCAATGCAGATTTAAAACTTCTTTCACCAGTAGCCAACATTTTTATTGTTGAGGAAGGTGGTTAAAAACTTGAATACCTGATATGTATTGATATGATTGTATTTTGTTGGGTTAACTACAGGTAAATATAAATTATTGAGGGCTCTAGTTTTGTAATTAAAAGTAATGAATATATGTACTGAGAGTAGAACGTCATATCATCAATAATTAATCCCAGAAATTTTGTCTTAACATTTGTTAAATTTATCTGCTCATAGTTAATTTGAGTAGTGATATTATAATAATTCATAGGTCGAAACTCAACATATTGAGTCTTGTTAAAATTCAAGCTAAGCAAATTAGCATTAAACCATGTATTTATATCTTTGAAAGTTTGATTAAGATTTATTTCAAAATTTAACTTGTTAGTGTCAGTTACTATAATACTGGTGTTGTCTGCAAATAATACTATATTTTTATTTATTATTTTAGATAAATCATTAATATAAAGCAGAAAAAACAAGGGACCAAGAATCAAGCCCTGTGGAACACTGCATTTAATTGTTTCCCATTTGGATGAGTTGTTACTGTCAATTCTGTTACCCACTACAACTCTGATATCTACCTGTCAAATGAGATCCTATAAGTGTTTTGAATTTTCCTTCAGTTCCATAGAATTCCAGTTTATCCAATAATATGGTTAACACAGTGAAATGCCTTTTGTAAATCACAAAAAAATGCCTCCCTCGTTTAACTTATTATTCATTGCAGTTAAAAGTCTTATCAATGTAAAAGCTGCCTTCTCAGTTGAGTGTCCAAAAACCATATTGTTCTTGTACCAACAGATTTGCTTCAATATGAGTAATAAGTCTTGCATATATGAGTTTTTCAATGATCTTAGAAAAAGAAGTCAACAATGATATAGATCTGTAGTTGGATATATTATGAGTTTTCCCTTTTTTAAATAGTGGTTTAACTATGACAAATTATAATCTATCAGGAAAAATACCAGTATTAAGTATTGCATTACAAATATGAGTAAGTGGAGAAATTATAAATGGTGAACTTAATTTTATTATTCTGTTTGAAATTTCACATGTCCATGATATGTCTGCCGTATCCGTCTTGTAATGCACTCAATTTGATGTGTGTGGCTGCCAAAAAGGGAACACACATCACGAGACACGATATACATGGAATATAAGAGGAACGATTCCCATAGTGGAGGAACAATGCGCGGGTTTGAATTGGGACAAATAAGATGAATATCTTAACAGGATTTTAGTGTATAAAAATTTATTATAATTGACGAATATTTTTAAATACTTTTTAAAAAATTTTACAATGACATAATGGCAAGCAATGCAATAGATCAGCATAAATGGAGCACTTGATGATGGCACTATGTTGCCGAAACATATTGTGAAATAACGGGTGAAATTGAGTGCACTACAAGACGGACACGGCATACATATCATGGACGAAAACCAGTGCAACAGGATGCTAAAATACAACATTATTCACATGTCCACTTGTCTTTTTAGTCTTCAATGATTTAATAATTTTTTCAATTTCATAAGTGGAGGCATACTGCCAATTCATTTTAGTAAAAGGTCTACCAAACGTATTTACTAAGTAATTGGTTGAATTTGATGAATTCGAGCTTATACAGGGTGCCCCAGGTGTTTGGTGCCATACTTCAGGAGCATACTGAGGGTTCCCTATAGAACAACTTTGAAATAGGAACCAGTGTCCACAAACGAAAAATAGCAGCGCTAGGGCGGCATTTAATAATATATTGTTTAAACTTGGCGCCTCAATGTTGAAGAGCATGCACAGGCATATTACCCCCTCCAAATTCTTAAGACTCACCTGCTAGAGTAGATATTGGAATTGCCCCCCCCCCCCCCATTTTCAATGCATGCGTTACATCGACGAAAGAAACTTTGGCGCACCCTTTCAAATATTCCAGGTGTCTCATGGATCATGTTACATGTAACATGTATTCTGGCCAACAGCTCAAATTCAATATCCACAGGAGTGTCGTAGATCAGGCTTTTCACATGGCCCCAGATGAAATAGTCCAGAGGTGTCAAGTCTGGGGATTGGGCTGGCCAAGGCACTGGGCCTCCTCTTCCTATCCAATGACCATGAAAAGTAGCATCCAGGTAGTATCGTGATACAATGCTGAAGTGTGTCGATGCTCCGTCTTGCTGTATCCACATTTGCCTCTACACAATCAGTGGCACGTCTTCTAGCAAAGTCGGAAGGATACGTTCCAGGAACACCTTGTAAACGGGCCCACTGAGTTGCAGTGGTAGGAGGAAAGGCCCAATCAAGTGATTGCCAATGATGCCCTCCCAGACATTGACAGAAAATTGTGCCTGATGGTAACCAACTACAGTAACAGGGTTTTCGTCAGCCCAAACAGGGCTACTTCGACTGTTGAACCAGCCATCCCATGTAAACTGTGCTTCGTCTGTGAATAACACGTGATTCAGGAAGTTTGGCTGATGTAAACACCGGTTCAGTATCCACTGACAAAATTTAACTCGTATGAAGTCAGCTGGACCTACATCGTGTACTCACATTGGATGATACGGATAAAGTTGTTGGTCATGCAGGATCCTCCAAACACTTTATTTTGATGTCTCCACAGCCTTGGCAATGGCACGAGTGCTGGTGGATGGCTGTTCCTCTATGCAATGCAGTTCGACATTGAGGCGCCAAGTTTAAACGAAATGATTTTAAATGCCTCCCTAGCGCTGCTATTTAACGTTTGCGGACATGGATTCCTATTTCAAAGTTCTGTAGGGAACCCTCAGTACGCTCCTGAAGTATGGCACCAAACACCTGGGACACCCTGTATGTTATCTGATATGATAGAATCAGCTATAGATAGAAAGTGTTTGTTAAAAGCATTTGCAATTTTGTTCTGATTCATTATTACTTTATTATCTACCATTATGGAATAAATACCTCTATCCCTTTTTATTTTCCCTTTATCCTCATTATTTTCCAAGTACTTTTCATTTTATTATTAGAATTAAGAATAATTCCATTGTAATATGATTTTTTGCAGCCATTATTACTATTGATAATATTTTACAGTATTGGTTATAATATATTTTAAGATTTAAATCATCACTATGTCTGCATAATAACAAGAGTTCTCTCTTTCTTTTACATGAGGTCATCCCTTTTGTAATCCATTTATTCTTAATATAATATTTGATTTCCTTTTTTTGGGAAACAGGCATAAAACATCTTAAATAAGTATTATGAAAGTTATTAAACATATTAACATTATTCCCAAAAATATTGTTCCACTGTTCCCAACTTAACATTTGAAATTCAGCTATATTATTTTTATTAATGTTTCTAGCAAGGATAGATCCAAATATGTTATTAGGTACAGTAATATTCTTAGATATTATGAGCTGTGCATCATAATCACAGTCCATTAATACACGGTTTAATGGTATAACTTCTTCTGTTATCAATAAATATATTATCTATCAAAGTGGCTGAATTATTGGCAATTCTTATAGGGAAATATACAGTATCCCTTAGATTATAAGTATTTAACAGTAAATGCCCTAATCAAACTATAAAAACATGTGCCCTTTAAAAACAAGATCGGAAGTGAATTCTCTTATAAATAATAAATATTCAGAATTAGCCTGTTTTCTCATTGAATTCTTTATCGCCATGCCACTAGCTACCCCATACACTTATACTAACCACTGCATTGGTGACATTTCATGTTTGTAATTATGTTACAGATTAGATAATGGTGATTTTGAACCCCTAGAATTAACACCTTTCTCGTCTCCCCCTGACTTGCCTGATGTTATGAAGACTGACTCCAATGGCCAAGAACAAACGCCTTAATGCAGAACAGCATCAGTACATTTCAACATAACACACATACCCACAGGCCTGTTTTCATACCACTAATACACACCAAAGACAAGGAATTGTAAGCTTTTGAAGTAGACCGAAATATTCTGAACTAGGTTAATTTATTACAAGATTTTAAAATGGAGATGGAGTCTGTGTTGCAAATGTGAAGTTTATTGTTGATTTTGTTACAGAAAATATGTGAATAATGTAAAATCAATTTTCATATTTTAATTCTTCGAGAGACTTACTGTGTTTTTCTGTCAAGAGTATCCTACGTATAAAAATTGTATACATACTGTCAGTTTTGTGATCACATTAAAATTCGTCTTAATACATTGATTTAATATCACTGAATAAAAGCATGTGACTGATATCAGCATAATTGAGTTCGTTTAAAGTATTAAAAATGCCTTGTTGCTGCTACTTGCAGCGTGTCTGGTAATCACTTTTATAAAAGGAGTTGTTTGAATTCTAAGAATTGTATCACATTATACTAAATATATTGAAACTAATAAAATCTTACATAAATTACAAGTATCTGTGACACAATAGTATAGTTTTGTTTTATTGCATCTTGTAACTGGTCAAAAAGTATAAACAGTTGGAGAGCTCACAGAAGTGTTTCCATATTTACATAAATGATATTCCTGTCCATTAGCTGAAAGTTGCAATATCGGCAGGTTGGGTCTGTGTTGTGTCACTAGATTACTGTTTCACGTCCTGACTTGTACATGGGAGACTTCAGAGATCTGAAAGCTTTTTGTTGCCAGTCGCTAACTGAGAGTTCTTCTACTTTCAAATTGAAATTTAATGGCAGCCTAGTAGTACATTCTCTCTGAAGATTCACTCTGCATGTGGCATGAAGTGCAGTGTGTGTAAAAACATTTTTCACAACATTGTACTCAAGGAGGTTGAGGTTTGTAATATACAGGACATTTATTAGAGTCTACATAACTAAATAACCATATTTCCTGGTGTAAGACATGGTTTGTATCTTTGAGAACGGTTCTCAAAATCACAGCATATCCTGTACACTGATGGGTGCATTGTACACAGTGAAAGTGACAAAAGTGACGTAATTACAGGGTGGGGCACAGAAACTTCCTTTTTTTGAAGGCGAATAAAAGAAAAATTATTGCTGATAACACAAAATTTATGTTTAGCTAATGAAAGAACAAGTTTTAAATCATGTAGTTTTAAACAAACTATCTTGAAGGTGGTGGCCACTGTTCTCTATGCACTGATGCAACCGTTTTCTGAAGTTTCCCTCTGCATGTTCCAACATGTGCACCGGAATTTGGGCTGCTTCCTCCTGAATAACATTCTTTAGCTGAAGCAGGTTTGTGGGGCGATGTTTAAAAACCTCTGAGGTATCCCCATAAAAAAATCACAGGATGTTAGACCACGTGAGTGCGCTGCCCACGGGCTGTCACCTTGAAGCGAGATGAGCCGTGGCACCATCCTGTTCGAACCAGACATTTCCTAGATGCATTTCTTCAAGAGCTGGTTTGATAAAGTTTTTAATCATGTCCACATACCGCTGTGAATTGACAGTAACTGCATGATTGTCTTTAAAAATAAGGACCAATAACTCCCAACTCTCGACAACACACACCATACTGTCACCTTATCACTGTGAAGTGGCCTCATGGAGCTCTCTGGGATTGTTACCACGCCAATAGTGCATATTCTGCTTGTTGACATATCTGGATAGGTGAAAATGTGCCTCATCACTAAAGAAAACAAGTGCATCGGGGTAGTTTCCAATAACGTTTCGCATGCCGTTATTCGGTTCTGGAAATCATGTGGTGACAGTTCTTGCACAACAACCATCTTTTAGGGATGGAACTGAAGATGTTCGTGAAGAATTCGGCGCATTGAACGATTGGATATGTCTAGGGCGACTGCATGTTTGCGAGCGGAGCATCTTGGAGATCTCAAAATCGACTGTCGAACTGCCTCCACATTTTCTGGCGTCATAATGGTCCGTTGTCGTCCTGATGGTTTTTTCACCACACTCCCGGTTGTCTTAAAGTTCTCTACCCACAAAACAATCGATTTCTGGTCGGGAACCAGACCTCTGAGCTTAATTCTGAAGTGAGTACAGAACGCACGCTACACCGCCATGTAGGAATGGTTGTTCAAAAAATAGGCTTCGAGAGCAAACGCACGCTGCTCACTCATCCACCTCATGTTTCCTACTGAGGGGTATCAGACAGAAACTACCGCAACTGCTGCGTTCGCCGAGCCTATCCCCAATTTTCTGTGACCTCCCCTCCCTTCACAAAAAGGAAGTTTCTGTGCCCCACCCTGTATTAGAACCACTGTTAGAATGCAAAATTGTTCACTTTCATTAATAAATAAGTATATATATAAATGTTATTAAACAAATATTTTAGAAAAATGTTCTTGATTTCTCCTTTCCTAAACCATTATGCATTTTATACAATTAGAAATATGTCGTATCAGTCTCTGACAGAGTACAATGATGTAGGGTAATGTCCTGAACTTCTGTGCCAAGATTTTGGTTTGAAACCAGATTGTCTGATTTCACTGTTCCATCACCACTTTTCCTGTAGGTCCCTCCTGCCTGAATAGTAGAGGCTCACCTGTGGTTGCCTCCACCTCAGAAATTCCCTCCCTACACAACTGTCAAGATTAGCAGAGGTCATCAGAAGATAAAATGCATTAAGTATAGGCATTAGCCACAGTAAAGTAAGATGTCAACTTCCAGGGTGTAGGATGTAGATGAGTATTTATTCTGGGTCTTATTTCACTGGACTCATAAGAAATATAAGAAAAGGCTTAGCATCCGTATTTCTTTTTTTTTATTATTGCTAGTGGGGTGGGATTAAGTCCTTTGTACTGCGGCCACTTCTGGCCTATTGTACCAGCCCCAGATGATAGGTGAGGGTGATTGTGGAGCAATTGGTGGAATGAAGATTGGCAGGGGAAACCGAAGTACTCGGAGAAAACCTGCCCCAGCGCCACTTTGTCCACCACAAATCCCACTTGACCAGACCCGGGATCGAACCGGGCCAACATGGTGGGAAGCCAGCGACTAACCGCTTGAGCTATGGCGTGACCCTTAACATCCATATATCAAGCCATATCCCACCTCTGAATATTACGTGGAGATGACCTCTATTTAGGCAGGGACGTTTTTGATGTTTGAATTATTACTAAGATTTTCTTGTATGGATGTCATGCTCATCACCAGATTGTCAATTCTGCACTACCACTTGACAGTACCCTCCAGCAATCAATTTGTCTTGCCATGAAAGTGCATTATAATTTCATTCAATTCTTTTCTACATCTAGAAGTTCTTGTGAACAAATATATTTTCATATATAAAGGAGACTGAATAAATTGACAGTGCACCCCCATGCAATGTCCCTCAGTTTAAGGTGTTCACACATTTAACATTCAATTTCAATGATCCAAAGGTAATAATCTGTTATGTTATCACCATTTAAGAGTGTCCTCAGTTCAGTGTTGAACTCCACTGCTCCCCAAAAAACATTAAATGAGGGGTTTGCAGTACACTGCTTCTAGAAAAAGTATGTACCATATTTACTGGAAGCTAAGTTGCCACTATGTCACCTCAGGCACCTAAAAGATATGCTTTCTGATAAGTCCGTTTAGCTGCCATTACAGAGCTCAGTACACCATATGGATCTTACAGCTTTCAAAGAATGTCAGATAAACGATTTTAAAAGTAATTTGCATATCTTGTAAAATGGGATATATAAAGCTTAATGGTGTTCATACAGAGTACACTCTTAAGTTACCTTTCTCATTTCAAAACAGCAAGAGGATGATTCAGATCAGTCTTCTGGGATGTGGCAATGTGCTATGGTAGATAGGTACCAACATTTTGGAGGAGCTTGCTGCCTCCATCTTCAAGGTAGGAGACTGAACCATGCAGGAAGAAGAGGTATGTAATGCAGGTCAGAGAGGCCCAGGACTTGGGCTGTGCGAACTAGTAGGTACAGTGGTGGGCCTATGAAGGGCTCTTTGCTGAGAAAAGAAAAACTACTAGTTTCCTGACAGCCCAGTCCTTGCTTCTGTATGCCACATACAGCTCACCCTTCTGAGATGAAGGTGGCAGATCCTCTGAAATGTTGGTATTTATCTACTAAAGTGCAAGGTTTCACATCCAAGATGTAAGCAAAAGGCTTAACAGCATAAAGGTTTGACCAAGGATAAAGAATTAAGATATGTAGGAACTGAAACAAAACTCATAACTTAATACTCATTTTAATTAGTTTTGAAACTTATATGAACAAATTACAGGTATCTCCAGTCTTACATGAATTTTGCTTTAACAGAATTTCATGGCTCTTCCTTTCACACAAAACAATGAATTTAGGCAAGTTTATGAGTAAACAACCTGTAACATTACTGCTACTGGGAGAAAAAATAAATTTCAAGTTACACATGTCTTGGGAATTTAACTATTGCATAAGTCATGACACACCCGTACTCTTCAGATGCCTTATTTTCCTTAAACAGTTTGTATAGCTGGTACTGTGTACTTCAGTATGTGCTGTTTGACATGCATCACCAAATGGTAACAAGCATAACAATATTTCTGATATTTTGTGGTCAAAACACTCCCAAGAACAGAAACTAGTATTTTGAGGCACTGAAGTGTAAGCAGTAACTCAAATCAGTATTCTGCCTATTACTCATACAGATCTGTATGCATAGGAAGTATCACTTTTTTTAATGTGAAACAGTAGTTTTGTGTGTTACGAAAGACTGTACAACACATAATGTAAAACTTTTAATCCAATATTGGGTAGAGACACAAATAGCATGTAATCTCAAATGACAGAATTTTCAGTCATATAGTTCAAAAAAAGAAGCTATGACTATCTAAAAAAATTCATAACATGACACTTAAAACTGGATCTTCAAATTTCTGAATATTGTATACTCACCTCTGTAATGATTCTACTTACAGTGTAATCTTCTGTCAACCATAATAATGTACTGGATGGTATGTCTAACCATGTTTGAATGATCTGAACAAATCCCTTTCTCACATTTAACACATTCTGTTCTGTTTTTGCTGTAATCTATAATTTTACTCATAACAGTTCTGCAAAGGATTGCTGTTTGACTTTGTAATATACCAATAAAAGAACATTATAACTTAGTTTTCTTTTTCATTCTTACGAGTAGCAACTTAAGCATAAAATGTAAAACATCCCACTGAAAACAGTTCACAAACAGTGCCTCCTCTATCAATATATAATTGTATCTGCCAACAGTGGGAAATATTTTCAGAAATCTTTAGTAGTGTAGAGTACTATCTTCTGATATGTGACACCATGTAGTCTGGTAGAGGTTTGATGATTTGGAGGAACACACTGCCTCCATTTTCATGGTCAAAGAGTAAGCCAAGCAACCAACCAACCAACATGACTTAGGAAGAACAGGATGCACTTGGCACTAGCAACACACAGATTCCAGAACCCCCTGGCCAGTGCGCTAGGCAGGCTACACAGTCATACAGATGTAATGGCAAAGAGAAAAAATCACTGCTCCCACTGGAAATAAAACTCTAGCTCACAATTAGTCACATTCCCAAGCTACAAGTGTCAGGACAGTGAATCGTGCTTATGCACAAAGTGTAGCTTCAAGGCTTTAGATTTGTGTGTCAAAGCATAAGAACAATCTTAACTATTATGACCAGAATTTCAGGTTCTCACAGTAGTGGTTATGAACAGCTCCATCTTCTGGGATGTCATACCATGTGTTCCACTTTCAGTCAGCTGACATTTCACACAATCATATCACCTCCATCTTCAGGTTTCAAGAGTAAGCCAAGCAAGAAACCAGCATGAAGCAGGCAGCAAGCAAAAGCTTTTAACTCTGACTTGACTACAGTGTTATATCCAGAAGATGAAAGTCACATGCTTTTAGATTCTGCTACTGGACACTTCTATATCCTCATGAGTGTTACTGTCCATCATTTTTCTGCTAGTTTGTTTTGAAATCCCTTCCTTATCTGCCTTCATTACACCTTTCTCTTTGCACACACTGTCACTGTGATCCCCACCCTGAGAGTTTGCATGTCTGTCATCCTCTGAAGGCTCTGAACCGGAATCTTCCACCCTTTCCAGGGTGTAACTCCCCACTTGGATTTGTTTCGCCTTTTTTCTGTTCTCAATTTCTATCTCACGTTTTCGATCCTCCAGAAAACTTATGTAGCTTTGTTTCTGTGGCCCAGTAGCAGGGACATAGTGCCCGCCAGGATGAACACTGATTTCCACGTGACTGAACTGTTCAAGCAGTAACTCACTCATCTCTGAAACCCAAAAGAGAAACAAAGCATAAAAAGAGAACTTGAGAACAGTCAATCCAGAAAATATCTACTACAGTGGTTCTCAACTTTCTTCAGACTGCAGCCAGGTGAATTCCTTTTTCTACAAGATGAGGGCTTGGTACCAGGTCACGGCCAGGCAGTTGAGAAACACTGATCTACTATACCTTAAAAATCTGTATCAACTAGGAGAATTTATCCATTAAAGTGATGTTATTTCAAACATGTGATGTGGGAGAATGTCATCAGTAGGAAATTCTTATGGGAGAAATTTTAATACATCTTCAATATATATTCAGTGTGCTTAAGAAAACAAATGTCATATGTGGGAAAACTCATGCAGTGTATATTATTACATATCAAAAGCAAAACCCAAAAAAAGGATATGGGATTTCTAAGAAGTGCTGAAGAAAAACAGGAAAGGAGAGATAATGAATTCAACTTTTAGAGAAGATGACACCCAAAAATAGAACTTGAACAGAAATGACAATGATTTGGAAGTATTGTTCTATATGGTGACATCAGGTATAGATTGTTGTGTAAGGTAGGGTGATGCTTACTATAAACTGTTGTATATATTAATACCTATGTCGTATATGCGGATACATAGTATGTAATGAATTGTTTTATAAGGTAATTGATATAATATGTTATATGGTATATTGTAATATGAGGAAAAGACTGTACCTTATGGATATATAGTATGAGGAAACGATTGTACCAACAGGAAGGATCAAAAGATTAGAGCTTTGTCCTTCACCTGTGCTGTCACAAGAAAGAAGCTTGTTTTTTACGAAGAACAAGATAGCTGTGGACCCTCCAAAAACTCACGAGGGTGATGCAATGAAAGACGCTAGTCTGCAGAAGGGTAACGCCCTAACTGGACCACATATATATACCCCACCAAGGCGTTACCAAGACCCTTTTTGATATCGACGCTGCCTGAGTGTCCATTAAGTGGAACAGAGCAGTCTGATACCAGGAGTCGGCCGCTGCCCTTGCTCAGGCAGACCACTGATTTTCTTACAAACAGGGTTTTCTCTACAACTGTGTACATTATAAATAAATGTATTAGTTAACTTTTGCTGAAACAAGTTCCTCTATTTACTATCTCAGTATAAATGTAACTGTCTTTTGTACAAATTACTGAGGTTAGGTATTTTTAACAAAGTTTGTTTTCAGTCATTTTCAATCGATACTGCAATGTGCTTTATGCAAGTTAACAACTTTTAAATTTGAATGACACTTACCCCTACTGATTACTTTGTCATTTTCTCCATAAACATGTAATGATGGTATTGATGATGCTTTCAAGTAATAGTTGAGGTGAGGATGACACTGTGACTTGAATCCACCTACCAATATTGCAAAGCTGAATTCATATTTCAACCCTATAAGAATAAGACATTTAAACAGCCTATTAGACAAGTTCTAGCAAGAACTTAACATGACTGCATTCATTCTAGTGAAGCAGCACAGCATATGAATTAATAACTATTCAACTTGTTTATTTATCTATTATCCTTCCAAGGCCTTCTGTCCTTCTGAATAAACAACAGCATAATGCGTGGCTGATAAGGGTTAATAACATCTATTGTTAGCTTCCTGGGCCTGTCACAGCTCCACTGCAGCTTGAGAAGGAAGGCAAGATTACAGACTTTTCATCCATCAATCCACATGAAATGTAAATAATGCTTGCTAGCAGAAAAATAATAAGACATTCTCAAGATGTCAAATTTTCCTGGTATAACCTAAAAATTTTGTACCATCACCATTTCATAACTATTAACACATGAATTTATTAGGGGAGGGCGCTATGCATGCAACCATAACACTGAGACTGTATACATCAGTTAGTTACATTCAAACAAATGCGCATGCCTTTTCTGAAATCACAGAGATCATTTCTCTAAAGCAAATAATGGAAAATTACATACAATTTGATTGCTGCATTCCACACAAGATTCCTACAAAGCCTGCTCCTTGGGAAAATCCAAGTAAACCATCGAATGGCCCCAGTTCTTCGAAGGTTTTCTCGATGAGGGCTAAACTGTTCTCAAAACCCAAGCAAATATCAGATGGTTTCTTGGCATCAAACATCCTGTTCTCTGTGGTGAACCACCAAGCATACTCATCTGAAATAATCAAAAATGAATTGGCAATTTGGCATTAATTATTAGCACTCAACAAAATTAAGTAATCCTATATAATATGCAAGAATAACAGTACAGCAACTGATTTTAAGAGGAGAACAATTTCTCTTTTAAAATTTGTTAATCTAAACACGAAATATTACTAGGGTGAATGACACCTGTACAGCATGTAGTTCACACTGAAGAGATGAAAAATGCATACAAAATAATAGTATCAAACTCTGAAGGAAACAGATCACTTAGCAGACTTTGGCAGGATAACTTAACATGGATCCTGCAGATACTGGGTGTGAAAGTGAGAACTCGATTCATCTGGATCAGGGTGCTCTAAAGTAGTGGGCTCATGTGAATGCAATAATGAACCTTCACATTCCACAAAACATGAGAAATTTCTTTACCATCTGAATGTCTATTAGCTTCTCAAGAAGGACTCTGTACTGTGGGGTTAGTTATTTGCTAGGAAACAATTTCTGTGACTGTTCTCATTAATTTATGAGCAGGGTAGCTCAGTCAGTACAGCAAAGTAGCTATGGAATATGACTCCAATCAGGAGCATGGCTGTCACAGCAAGGACTGTTCTGCGAGCCAACACATTTAACCACATCAAAACAGAACTGATTTCAAGGTTTTAGAAAACATGCCTCGCTAGACTATCAGGAAATGTCACATCAAAACCTGATGGAGACAGTGCGAGTCTCCAAAATGGAATGCATTTCACCCTGACACAGCCTGCTGCTCTAGAGGCTTCACTGCATTCACTTGCCATGCAAGCTTCAAATCTCAGAACTCTATGTCATGCCCACTTAAAAGTTAAATAATCCATGCAAAAGCTATTTTAGTACTCAGTGCAGTTGTTCATATCATACCATTTATCTGTGCATTCTCATCAGTAACTGAATGCTCTTCAGGTGGCGGGATTTTATTAGGAGCTGTCACAAAAATAAGTTCTGCATTTTTCTTCAGCAATTTCCTCACTCCCCCAAGTTTCCGCCTGAAAACTTCTCCATTCTGACCATATCCATGGAGGCACAATATCTGGAAAATAAAGTATCCCTTATGACAGCATTTGTAGTTATTTGGAGCACTTTGTAAGAACAGACAAAGAAATCAATATATTTTGAGGGCATGGCATCTAGTGACACCCCACTGCTTACACAGTAGCCAGGATACCAGACTGACACCATAGAAGTTCCATGGATGGTTGGGATGGTGTTTCAGGCTCCCACCTCTCAGCCTACTGCTGTATTCCCTTCCATCCCGATGCACTTGTCAACAGCACAAGTCATCATGTGATTATTATCACTGTCTGTCTGAAACATCTCTGACAGTACATCACCCCACAAGTAGGCGACATTACAGAGCAAAAGCTTTGTGTGTGCAACAAAATCTTCATTCAGTGCAGCAATTCTGGTTCCCAATGTGTGTCACTAACGATTATGTTACTATCTGATGGTGATATACACTCACAGACCAACATCCGTGTGAGGAGAATGGCTGGACAGCCAGAGGAGAATACGGGAGTGCACTTACAGGGAACAGTAGCAGAGTCAGGTGGAGTGATCGACAGGTCTGAATCCTGGGACCTCTTTCTGCACTCTGTGTGTAGTGTAAGGAATTTACAGATTTACACAGACTTTAGGTTCCATTTTCATATTATATATACATAAAGATGTCAGCCAGTACAGACAGTACCACTGCATCAACATATTCAGTCATGCAGACCCTAATCTTGGCTGCTGTGAAATTATGTTCGACTATAAGAAACTCTGAACAAATCTGTACAAGTCATTTGCCTCGATCATTCACTGTCTTACGTGCAACACTATGTTCCACAAAACTTATCACCTGCACCTTTATGAACATATAAGGGCAAGCATAATGAATAGAATAATGAATACAGTATATTAATATCCAATAACAGATGAAGAAAAAACAAAGGAAGACAAGACACACTATATAACAATGAATATAATAAGAACTTAAGCACAAGCCACTTGGAAAACTACAGATGCAACAAAAATACCTTGTAAAGCCTTGCCTACAAAGAGACGAGTGTGAATAAAGTGACATATACCAAACAAGATGGACTGCCCACTAAAATATACATGGCATACACATTTTTAACATCTGTTGGCTGAAATATGTAGTGTATTTTAAAACTGAAAAGAAAAAAAAAACTTTTAAACTTGTAAAGGTAATAAGTTTTGTGCAACATAGTGTTGTGTGTAAGACAGTGAATGATCGATGCAAGTGAAAAGTGCAACAGGATGCTGCAGTACATTATTTTGTACAACTCAGTTTGTTTCTGAACTTATAAACAACATTGAAACACTACTCTGTTAAACAAAATCTTAGTTTACTCTTTGATCCTCAAGATGGAGGCAGTATATCCTCCAAAACAAGAGCAAACTTCCCCAGACTATACGAGATTAGACCCCAGAACACGGTATTCCTCAGAATCAGTGTAACGCCATGAACTGACTTGAAGGGTCAACATATCTTCAGTTCTCAATGATTCTGTATAATTCTGGGTTAATTCCCATCTGCACAAGCTCCCTTCAGCATTAAACGTTTATCCATGAACAGTCCACAAATTATCTGTGAATAAATTTCTTTTTACTTACACATTCTACTCTGTTGATGAACCTGTCTTACAAAAAAATGTGTAACAGACTGTAAACTGGGTAGATAGTAGAAGTTCTTTGTTTGTATCTTTGTGCAGTTCAAGGAAAGTTTACCAGCTCTCAGAGGAACATGTTTCCTGCATCTTCAGGTTGGTTTCTTGCACAGCTTACTCATATACTCAGTGATTGTGAGGCCATAGCTTATTTAAGATTTTGGCACTTAGGTCAGTTTTTTATGGAACCAAGTGACTTTTATGACACCCCATAAGCAGGGTCCTACAATTTATTAAAAGTGTAGGATTAATAAAGGGCTAATCCAAGGGGAAGCACAATGGATCATTGAAGGTCGCAGTTTATATGGCCCACTCCTTACTTACATACATACACATAAACTCTAAAGGTGAAAACAATGCGCTCCTTGAAGAAGTTGGCTGCCTTTCAATGAAATATACAGAAATATATCCCAGAAGATAGAACTCCTACCACCATTGCAAGAACCCCAGGTCCTGCACTGTTTTATGGTAATTTACTTGGCACGTAAATTTTTTCAGAATTCTGAGTTCAGTATATGACTGTGAAGAAAATATTAATGGTGTAATTAATGTATTTTGTTCTCAGGACATGTTCTGTAAATGCATTAGATTTAGAGATGTTCTCCTAATGTGATATATTGTATTCTAACAGCCTTCATATTAACTCATCTTACTGGCTCTAAAGAGCCAACACATGACCTAACCAAGCATAACCATGGAAAGGATAAAGGATTGCGCAGAATGACATCCACACGGATGCATCAACCTAACCTAACCTAACCTAAGCAAACTCTGTCCCCAGCAACGCTGACAGTTGCAGGTAGTTCCTGAATTCACCAAAACCCTCGGTCTTTACTTATTTAATTAAATAAATTCCATTTAGTCGCCCAGATCATTTCCTGGGGGACAAGAAAACTGATATATGTAACGCCAAATATACAAAATAATG